AGAAGGGGTTGGAGTAAGAAGGGGGGAAAAGGAAGGAAAGGAAAAGGAAAGAAAAAGGGGGAGAGGAGAGGAGAGGAGAAGAGAGGAGAGGAGAGGAGAGGAGAAGAAGGGAGATAGGCATCGCCATAGCAACAACAGTATTTCTCTGATTTGGTGCCTGATGTTCGATGCCAGCATCTCTATTATGATAAAAAAAATAGATAAAGTCATGCATAAAGTCTTTAAACACTGTGGTGTTGGATCATGACCCGCTGACGTCAGCTCTAGTTTTATCAGACATTGTGGACAGAACCCTGGGGAGACAGGAGACTGTTGTTCCAACGGACGACAACTTCTTCTTTATGTGCTCCTCAAAGGTACCAACTAAGATCAGCAGCAAAAACAGCTAGTACCAACTAAGATCAGCAGCAAAAACATCAGCTGTTTACAGGCACAATAGTGTCAAAATGTTGTCAGGTGACATTAAGTCAATGGTTTAGGATAAGTCAAAAAATCAATAGTTATATTTTATATTTTTTAATTCATATTTTAAACGATCTTTCTTTCATAGTAGTGGATTTACTGGGTTTAATTTATAAGTCAGTTTTTGAGCAGGTATTGATTTAGACATCCTTGTTTTTTAAGGTTAAATAAAGCTTGTATTATGTGAAAAAATAATACTGTGTTAAAATGGCCCCGCTCTACACAGAAGCACTGAGGGAATAAATCCAGAGAATTCTATTTTCTTATTAGAGCAAATGAGTCGGTCCCAGGTGAATAAATACCATGCGTGTAATTCTCTGTGTAACTTCATGGCCACGAGAGCTGCAGAAAACAAGAAGTAAAACTTGTGATCTGATGCTAATTCAGTCTGTTTCTTTTTTTTTTTTCCTTCTGGTTTTCCCTGCTGAAATAACCCTCCTCTCACTGACCACAGCACAGTGGGTGCTGTGTTCGGGTTCACGCAACAGACAGGCTCGCCTCAGGACATCAGGAATAATTAGCCAAGATCAACCCGGCATCAATCACCCTACTCTCGCACATGTACAGGTCATCACCTTGTACACGACCTTACATGCTAAACAGGCCGCTGTCACAACCTGTCGAAAGGCTCGGGCAAAAAAAAAAAAAAAAAAAAGAGAAAGAGCGAGAAAGAGCGCGGGGAGGGGTAGAGAGAGAGAGAAGATGACTGAGTGGGAGTTAAAGAGACAGTGAGAGAGACTGACCCACATGTTAGATCTGAATACAAGTTGTAATGGTCAAGGCCGGCTAGTAAGAGTTAGGTGAGTGACGTTCTACGCCAGTGATCATCAACGAATGGCCCGGGGGCCCGAATCTGGCTGCCAAAATAAACACCAAATAATAATGTTAGACACGTCCAGTAACCAAGGGGTCCGTCCAGATAATTTCTAGCCCTCTGACAACTCTAAAAACCAAATTGCTTGACTCACCACAGTCCATGTTTGTGGCTGAGGTCCATGCTAATCATTTTACCCACAGATCCAGTGACGTTGCTAACAGACAGACTCCAGTCTCCTCTTGCTGCTAGCATCATCCTAGCATTTCAGGTCAAAGCAGCTAATAGAGACGGTATAATGTGCATGTATACACATCATTCTGCTGCTAGCATCATCCTAGCATTTCAGCTCCAAGCAGCTAATAGAGACGGTATAATGAATACACATCATTAATTCAAAACATAAACTGATGCTATCAATATGGGCCAAAGAGAACAAGATCGTTACTGGTTAGCTAGCTATTGTGTGTCCCAATTGACAAGTGAAACTTTATGTCTACTACATTTGGATATTTATAAGGCTTAGATACACACACACATAGACCTCAAAACACACACTTGGAGAACCAGACACAGTCACACACACACAGACTGCATGGAGTCTCCAGAGAATGGCAGCCCTGACATGTCGCTTGTCCCAAAATAATGGCTGCCGCAGCAATTAATGACACCACTCAAGTGCGGGGGCCGGCTCATGCATCATCTCAGCCCTCCCTCACTCTGAGCTCAAGGACAGTCAGGTGAGTTGCTCTTTTTACACAAGGGGGCACCATCCCTGCTGACGACGGCCGTCATATGCGTGGGGATTGGGTCTGAGTGGGAATGTGTCACAGACTGCACGCAGAGGACAGCGACCTCACTTTGGTGACAGGGAGTTTAATCCGTCTTGTCGTTTTTGTTTGATATAAAACCAGCAGTAAAACCGGATCAAATGCTAAAGTCGTTTTTTTTTTTTTATTATTATTATTATTATTACCCAGAATCCTCTCGAAAACTGAACAACAATCGTAACCAATGATTATAAGCAACAAGTAGATGCTAATGTTGTACAGCTATGAGCTACACACATACTCCCCCAACAGGTTTGAATTTCCTCATTCAGTGAAACTTTTCAATTTTTGTCCCATTTATTCTCATCGACAGTATATTCCATTCTTTTGTGCTGCAACGACCCAATTTCCCCCACGGGGATCATTAAAGTTTCATCTTATCTTATCTTCCCTCACCCTTTTCTCCCCTCTCTTATCACCCCCTCCTCTGAATCCTTCACTTAATTATGTCCTGTGAATGAAGTTCATCTTTCATGCTGCCAACAGCCAGCAGCCCGGCTCACCCGTTCTCGGGCTATCTAATCACGGCGCGGAGGCCAAACTAAATTTAGACGGCCAGCTTGTGATGCCTGGCAGGCCCTAATGGCGGCCGACGTCTGGAGACACTCTGCTGATGTACATGACACAGTGGGCCGGAGCGGGCCGCAACCAAAGTTGACTTATGCTGATGACTTGTGAACCAGTTTGTTTCTCCGAGAAAGTTTTCAAGGGGATCACGTGCACGCACACACACAATCACACACACACACAGAGGTGAATTACTGTGCTGACTAAGACCACTGCAACTTAATGAAATCCTGCATTTACATTTTAGGATCTTAGCCAATGTTAAAAGTAATCTACACAAGGCAAGTAAAGCAGCAGCAGCAGCAGCAGCAGCAGCAGCAGCAGCAGCAGTGATCTGAGTGGTACAAACGTTCACACTCACAGCCCACCAATCAGCAAACTTTGCTGACTGTACACTGATGGTTGTGAATGCAGGCGTAACAAGCACTGAAATATTCAAAGAGCAAATTTACTGTTTAAATTTCATGAGCACAGAAATCGACACCCGTTAGATCCTGAGTGTCTGTGTTGATCAGAATATTTTCTAATATTTCTTCTAATGATTAAAGAAAAGAAAGGTAAAATAAAAAGTGCAAATTAACCTGAGTACTCACAGGGCAGCTGGGGATTAATCATAAATTTATTGTGAAATATGACTAATTTTATTTATTTTATTTCAAAATGACTTCACTGAAGTCATTTAGTGAACACACACTGAGGTGTTTTGGGTGAAACAAGACTGTCACTCAAGACTTTCATTTTGCTCTTGCATTAAAATAAAATTAGGGATGTCCGATAATATTGACCATTGACTTTCATTTTGCTCTTGCATTAAAATTAGGGACGTCCGATAATATTGGCCATCCGATATTATTGGATATTACGAGAACAAGATGATTCAATTCACAACATTTTATTAGTATTACATTAATTATGTTTGGTTTTGAGATGAATACTGGTCACAGCAATTCAAGTTTTTTTCCCCCAACATTATGTAGATGAATTTATATAGTTCTAGCTTGAGCCATGGCATCAAAAATAATAATAATAATAATAATATTGGCCATGAGCCCATCGCAGCAGAGGAAAGACCTCCAACAGACTGGATTTTAATGCGAGACATATGGAGGAAGTGTTGACTTTGCACTTGCAGCAGTGAAACTAAATTCTTGCTCAGCAAAAAAAAAAATACACAAAAAAAAAAAACCGTGAAAAGAGGTTTTTCCTCTAATACCGGCCTGACGCTAATAAATGCTTGCTTGCCTCTTTAGTTGTGGTAAATTAAGAGCAGAGCCATCACTGGAGAGTGACGGCAACGGTATTTAAACTGTGTCATTTCTGCAGTAAAATATCCCCGACACAGTCCTTTTCCATTTTGCATATTTGGGGTATTCAGACAGGCACGTGGCCCTGCTGCTGCCAACCACAGCACTTTTGTAATTATTTCCACCAGTCTCACTTCATGCTCCCTTTCTATCAACACAAGCACAGTGCATCATAAGCACTACCCAAGGACATCAGATGTACATCCTTTCACTAAACGCGCAACAAAGACATGAACCTGAAGGCGCTTTGACCACAGATGGTGGAGTGAAGTACCAGACCACTTCCAGTACTTTTTATTATGATGCAGTAATATTTTCTACCTGCTGTTCCCTGACAGGACAATTTCATTTCATTTTCTACAGCATCTGTCATAACTAAAAGTCTTTACCAGTGTTCACTTTTAGTCAATTTTGTTTCAGTCTTGGCACTTCTACTAAGTTAGTCTTAGTTTTAGTTAAGGCCGTTTTAGTCGATAAAATTTTCACTAATCTCTTTTTAATAGGAAACACATTTTATATATTATTTGTTATATTTTTAATGTCTTGCAGCAAATAATACAGAATTATTATATAATAGTATATAATATTGTAATATATTATTATAGTTTATTTTATATGTCCATCCATCATCTACCACTCCTACCAGTCCTTTTATCTGATTGGCTCTCCCTGCCAAATGTTCTCTTCACTTTTCTTTAGTTTTCTAAAGAAAAAAAAGGTATGGCATGTGTGTTTGTAGTTAGGAAGCCTCTGCAGATAGATCTGCAGAGGCTTTCCCCCCCAAAACCGCC